TCCTTCCTTCCTTCCCTCCTTTCCTCCTTCCTTCCTATCTTCCCTCCTTCCTTCTTTCCCTCCTTCCTTCCTTCCCTCCTTCCTTCCTATCTTCCCTCCTTCCTTCCTTCCCTCCTTCCTTCCTTCCTTCCTTCCCTCCCTCTCTCCCTCCCTCCCTCCTTCCTTCCCTCCTTGCTCCTTCCCTCCTTCCCTCTTTCCTTCCTTCCCTCCTTCCTTCCTTCCTCTGTTTAATTGTTGAAAGTCTGCACAGCAGAACATACAGCCGTTATTCCATTACACACCAGTGACAGCGATGGGTTCTTCGAATTGTGTGCCCTTTCTCACCATCTGTTTGTGATTGCTCCTCCCCATGCCCCTAAGCTTCCGATCTGAGCTTGCTATTGTGAGTTTGACCCTGTATAGACACTTTAAAGCAGCACAGTGCTCGGGACAGGCATTCTTTATGAATTATGCCAAACTGCTGTTTGGTTTAAAGTTAACTTTGCTGTCGAGTTGGTTCCAACTTAAGCAACCCTGTGTAGGGTTTCCCTGGAGCAGCTGGTGGGTTTGAAACGCTGACCTTTTATCCTTTAAGCGCTGACCTTTTATCCTTTAAGCGTTTATCCTACAGTGCCACGCCAGAGGGTATTGATATAGTTTAAGGTTTAAAAATGAGCTCAGGGCAATATGGGCAGCGGAGGGAAGGAGTTGTTCATCCAGCCTCATTGACTCCAGACAGTCTGGATTCCATGAGAATTTGAAAGTCTGTTCTTTATTTTCCCCCTTTTGATTAGGACTCCTCTGTAGAGACTTTGGTAGTTTAGTAATTGTAACCACTATTCTCTTAAAAACGGCCCTCTGACCTTCAGTATGGAGAAGAGCTTCTGGGGTCCACTGCCCAGGTTTCAGTGATTCTCCCTGGGGTCAGGCAGGAGCTCCCCTGGGCCAGTCCTACGTAAGCCCAAGCAAGTAAAGCTATTGAGAGCATGGTTTGGCCTTTAAAATGGATCTTTCTGAAAAAGCAAGATATCTCAATTTGCCATATAAGACTAAAACGCATAACGACTTTTTATTTCTGATGGTTAAATTCAGCAATTAGAATACAGCTCTGAGAAGGTGAGACTTGACACAACCGAATGCAGGATAGATAGTTCCCACCACTCCTGACTAATCCCCCCTCCCCAACACCAGAGAGAGGCGGGCTGGGAGGAAGGGGCAGAACTGATTCCTGCTGCCTGGTGGCTGAATGCTCAGCTCCAGGCCCCATGGTGCCCTATCTATACCACCTGACAGATCTGTTCCTGCCATCTTCTTCATTCCCTCAGCAAGGAAGAGCCCCACAGGGGCAGGCTCCCCTCAGATCGCCCCTAGGGGAGCTTCTCAGGGGAACACATAGCACGGGAAACACAGAGGGGAGAGGGTTGAAAGTGACAAAGTAGACATTGTGAAAGTTACAATCTGTTACGCTTCAAAGGATACAGTCAAAATCAAACACAGTCCACAGAATGGTAGAAAATATTTACAGAACCTGATAAAGGGTCTAATGTCTGAAATATACAGAAAGAGCTCTTAAAATTTAAGAAAAAGCCCAATTTTAAAGTGGTGGGCAAAGGATCTGAAGAGACATTTCATTAAGAAATAGTCGAATATCCAGCGTGCACATGAAAAGATGACCAACGTCGTTAGTAATTGTTCTTATTAAGTGCCGTCGAGTTGGTTCTGACCCATAGCAACCCTGTATAGGGTTTCCAAGGAGCATCTGGTGAGCTTGAACCACCAACTTGGGGATTCAAAGTGACTTTGCAGCCCAGTGCATTAACCCACAGTGCCACCCCAGGACTCCTTCTTAGTGATTGTTGTTGTTAAGTGCCGTTGAGTTGATTCCACCTACAGCGACCCTGTATAGGGTTTCCAAGGAGCAGCTGATGAGCTTGAACCGCCAACCTTGCAGTTCAAACGACTTTGCAGTCTGACGCATTAGCTCACAGCGCCACCCCAGGACTCCCGTTAGTGATTAGAAATGTGCAAATAAGACCCTGGATCCTGGATACCTGTTGAGAGTCACTGGTCCCTGCACGCATGCACGTGCGCACGCACACACACACCGCTGTGGAGGAGGGGGGCATTTTGTGGGGGGGGATAACAGTCATTCCCCGCTGTGATGGTGACAGTGACCCCCCCTTCCTCTCCTGTTCCCCCACAGTGTGGGGCTGCCTTCCAGGAGGATGACGTCATTGTACTCAATGGTACCAAGGAGGATGTGGAGGTGCTGAAGCGCTGCATGGAGGAGAGGAGACTACGAGCGAAGCTGGGCAAGGTACAGGGTCTGCCCTACAGCCCCTCAGAGCACCCAGTAGTGTTAGCTGTGCTCGGGCCGGGGGTGGGGGTGGGGGGGGTTAGGAAACGAGCATCACTGTCCGAGGACTCGACACTCAGGGGGGTGGTCCCCACCTCTATGGGGTCAGGCATTTACAGTCCATGTGGAGTGAGAACCTCACTCGCTTCACAGCAGCGTTGCTCTTGGCTGGGAGCCTTTAGGACGGTGGTTCTGGAATGCGTGGCCAGAGTTAGACGGCTCTGCTCCTGTGTCTCTGTGCTTAGGGAGAGGAGGAGTGTATGTGGCCACGCAGTACACGTGCCCTTAGAATATTCTCTTAAGACATTACATACAACAGTCACAGAGCTGCCAGGGGGCCCACGCGGCATGTGAGCTGCTTAAAAGGGAAACAAGCAAACGGGATCTGCTGGCTCTTCACTGCCACCGTTGGTGGAGCTCGCTTTAAAAGCAAGCAGTAGTTTACTAGCAACAATGTTGGCCTTCAGCACGGTGCTCTTTTCAGAGCTGTGTATGGGGGGAGGGGCTTCAGAAAGTTTGTGGGAAAATTCCCTTGTCTCTTCATTCCGTTTTCCCTTGAACTTTAAAGCCCCTTGTTGTTGTTGTTATGTGCCGTGGAGTCGGTTCAGACCCATAGCGACCCTGTACAGAGTTTCCGAGCCTGTAAATCTTTACGGGAGCAGAAAGCCTCATCTTTCTCCCGCGGAACAGCTGGTAGTTTTGAATTGCTGATCATGAGGTTTGCAGCCCGATTCGTAACCACTATGCTACCAGAGCTCCTTATAGGTGGAATGAAATTGACAACAGTAACTGGAAGGGTTACACTGGAACTTTGGGTTGGGGGGGAGCAGTGAGCGGTCTGGCGGGGAGGGACGACTCAGGGTGGCCGTGTGTGCATGATGGGAAGACTGTCATCATTGTGACTCCACTGTGCATGGAGGAACTGTGAATTGTGGGCAGATTGCATCGGTACTCCCTACAGCAACAACACAGTAAATAAAAAATGTGAAAATCCCACAAAAAGGCAAAAATTTGTATTTTAAAGGCAGGTACAGAGTCCTGGTTTGGGGCTGTTGGATCAGCACTGGACCACAAGGTCGGCAGTTCAAACTCACCAGGTTCAAACTCAGCAGCTATTCCTCAGAAACCCTACACAGGGTCTCTGTGAGTTAGCATGGACTCGACGGCACTTCACACAAGTACCCTAATCCTTCCATTACATATTTGAGTGTGTCCGTGTAGTGCATGTTGTTATTGTCATTAAACACCTTCCTATCCAGAGTCACCCTGTATAGAGTTTCTGAGGAGGGCAGGTGGCTTTGAACCACTGTTAGTAGTTGCAGTTAGCAGTCCAGTGCTTGTCCTTCAGCGCCACACCAGGACTCCATGTGTAATTTGTGCTGTTACACATTTACAGCAAAAAAAACAAATCCACTGCCTTCAAGTCTACTCTGCCTTAGAGTATGACCCTATAGGATGGAGCCCTGGTGTGGCGATATATATATATTTATATATATATATAAAGATCAACACTGGACTGCTAACCACAAGGTTGGCAGTTCAAATCCATCAGCCACTCCTGGGAAACGCTATCCAGGATCACCATGAGTCGCAACCAACTCGACGACACCTAACAACGATAAACAGGATACAGTAGAAGTGCTCCACGGGGCTTCCGAGGCTAGAAATCGCATACGCAATTAGACCACTTCATCTTTTATCCTGTGGAGCAGTGGGGAGCAGCTCAGCACTTAACCCACTGTGCCACCAGGGGATTTTTACTACTTATATAGTATATCTGAAGTCCTGGCAAGGTGCTAACCAAAAGATCTGTGGCTCAGACTCACCAGCCACTCCTCAGAAACCCTACCCAGGATCACTGAATTGGAACCGACTTGATGGCCCTTAGCACCCACGCTGAGGCATTCATGTCACCCTGAGCCATTTTGCTGTAGTGATTTTTCTCCTCGTCCCAGACCTCCTACCGAGGCACTCAAAACCCAGTGGAAATAGCTCCCCAGTCTCGGGACCAAACAGTCAGCGGAGCTTTGGGGACTACCTCTTAGACACTGCTACCAGGATACCAAACATGTCCCAAACATGCTCACCGCTGCCAGCCGCACCCCGTTTCCTCTCTCCCACTCTGCTGACGTGCTCCTCCCCTCCCATCCTGAGCTCTAGCCCTGCAGATTGAAACACAGAGGGCTGGTAGCTGTAACAAGTTCAAGGCCACAGCCAGCACTGGGGCCTTCTGGGATAATTGGTTGTGCATCTCTAGCGCCACCTTTTGGATTCGATGAAAAGGACCTAGAGAATCTTTTCTATGACCTAATCATCAGTGTGGCTCTTGGCGATCCAGTGAGTGCTGGACATAGCAGAATCGTTCAGGAACGGTCCGTTTCTTTATGAGAAGAACTAGGGTAAGGATCAGAAATCTAGCCCCTGAGATTTAAAGATCTGACTAGAGGAATCCACAGTTGAGAATTGGCTATAGTTAGTGTTATGAATGACCAGACTGAACAAGAGTCGGGGCAGGTCCTGGCCACGTGTCCACATCTCCTTGATGTTCTTTCTCATTTCACTGCTCCCTCTGTGAGCAGATCTGTCACCTTCACTTAGAATATAAGCAGCAGTCTAAGCTACATCTCTACAAACCCATTCTTGATATGTCGTTGTTGAGTGCTGTCGAGTCGGTCCCAGCTCATAGCGACCCTGCATAGGCTTTCTGAGGAGCAGCTGGTAACTTTGAACCGCCGACCTTGCAGTTCAAACTGACCTTGTGGTCAAGTGCTTATCCTACAGCGCCACACCAGGACTCCATTTTATATATAACTTTATATGTAAAAAATATATGGAGTTCTGGTGTGGCGCTGTGAGTTAATGAGCCAGACTGCAAAGCTGTTTGAACTACAAGGTTGGTAGTTCAGACTCACCAGTCGCTCCTTGGAAACCCTATACAGGGTTGCTATGGATCGGAACTGACTCGATGGCACTTAGCAACAACATATATACACACACACACACACACAAATATATGGATGGAGCTCTGGTAGCGGAGTGTAGTCGGGGCTGCTAGCCTTAAGGTCAGCAGGTCGAATCTACCAGCCATTCTGTGCAAGATAAACAAGGTTTTGTGCTCCTGTAAAGCTCTGCAGGAAACCTGTACAAGGTCACTGTGAGTCGGAACCGACTCCACGGCACACCACCACATATATGTTGTTGTTTTGGGGGTGAGTTGGGTTTACAAACCCAGTCTTAGGAGAGGCTGGATGGCTCAGCTGCCACACTGCAGAAAGACGAGCCTCCATGGAGTGTGGACGTCTTCCTCAGAAGGGACTCCCGCGGCCTGGGCAGCCAGAAGATGCCCAGCGCCCCCTAACTTCCTCCTTTTTTAAAAAAAATTTTAAACAGAAAACCAAGAAATCCAAGGCAACAGAGACCGTCTCAAAGCCAGATGTCCCTGAAGGTAAGATGCTGAGAAGTGGTATTTATTTTAGCAAAAAATGACCATGTGGTTGTTTTCTAAGTTCACCCTTTTGTTTCGTTCCTTTCACAGACTCCGCTGGGCCATCGACTATTAAGACCAGGAAGCCTGAGGAAATCGTCCCTGACTCTAGAGAGAAGAAACCCAGTGCAGCTCCCAAAAGCGCAGGTGGGTGTCGCCTGGGGGACCACAGGGAGCTGTGGAAAGCTAAAAACTTGGTGCGGGATCTTCACTTGCTCAAGAAAGTCCCCTGGTGCCCCAACATTGTTGTGTCTGTCCTGTCTTCTGTTGCTGGAGCCTTGGCTATCGTGTCTAAGAATCCATTGTCATAAACAAGGTCTTGAAGCGTTACCCCTCTGTTTTCTGAGAAGTATTTTTTGTTTTGTTTTCTTAAGGTTTTTTATTGTGGATTGAGTGAAAGTTTACAGGGCACATCATCAGTTTTACGTTCAACAAATCATACACCTTGTTTCATTACAATGATTATAATCTCTTCCATGTACCATCAGTTAACAGTATTTCTCTCTAGTCACTGTAGCTTTTTTTTTTTAAACACTCAGGCATATATAATAATTTAAACACCCAAATGGCACATTCTGCAAGTCTGTCTCCTGGCTGCCAGCTCTCAGTCCTTCTCTTTCCATGAATCTAGAGTCCTCAGCTGTTCCCTCTCTCCATATCCTCATCTCTGCCTTCATCTCTGGTGTCGCTGCTTCTCTGGATAAGGTCTCTCATTCCGCTTGTGCTCTTCTCCCTTGATGGTCCTAGGGTCCTCTGTTTCTGGACTGTAAGATTAACCACAACCCTGTTTTTGTTACAAAACTTCTACCTTTACAATTGTGACAGTCACAATTAGTCATGATAACAATTACTATTGAATCATAAGAATCGTATCCCCATCTCTTTTAACCAGACTCATGTAGACAAGATGAAAACTATTAAGTGGGGACTCTTTTTTTCCCCACATGCTATTAAACGGAACTCCCCCTTGAAACCTTTAAGCCAGTCACTTCATGCCTTTATTCTTAGAAGTCTTCTATGGGTTTTGTTCTTGTTGGGCTAGTGTTCTGTTTCGAATGAGTTTTCATGTGTGGTTGAGGTTAGGGTCGTGTTTGATTCTTTTGCATGTGGCAGTCAGTTGGCTTCGCACCAGGTTTTAAAGAGACAGTTATTTCCCATTAGATAAGCTTAGCACCCTTGTCAGGAAGCAGCTGGCCATAGATGTGTGGGTTTACTTCTGGAGTCTGAGTTCAGTCCCACTGCTGGCTGCAGATGTCCTTATGTGTACCAGTTCCGCACTGTTTTGACGACTGTAGCGCTGTAGTGTGTTTTGAAATCAGAAAGGCCCAGGGCATTTGACAGGAATGTTCCTGACTTCCAAGGTTGGGGTTTAGAAGTACACCACCTGGCCCTTCCCCTCAGCTGTCTGCTGGCCACCTATCAAGGGGCAGTTTGGTGAAAATCCAGAATTCAATGCATTTCACCTGAAGCTCCCACTAACTCAAAGAAAATGGTATTTATTTCCCAAAAGAAAAGCATTGTTTCATTAGTTAAAAAAATACATCTAGTAATCTGCGTCACAAATGGTATCCATCGAGGTTAAAAGGAGCCCTGGTGGCACAGTGGTTAAGTGCTCAGCTGCTGCTTGAAAGGTTGGTGGTTCAAACCCATTGGTGGCTTCGTAGGAGAAAGAAGTCCTGACCATCTGCTCCTATAAGGGATTCGGCCTAGGAACCATGTGAGGCAGCTCTTTTCTGTCACAAGGGGCCACTGAGTCAGAAGAGACTTAGGAGCCCCATTGGCATTTTAACGATAACACTTCAGTAAAGCAGGTGTGTCTGTTTTTAAGCATGGACCCGTGAGATTGTATATTTCAGCAGTCATTCCAAGAAAGTCGGATGTTTTCGAGAATGTGATGTTTGCAATGGTCTTTACTCCCCACCTCAGAGTGTTTGGTTTTTTGTTTTTTGATTTTTTTTTTTTCTCATTTTTCCAGCAACAGATGGGAGTGCTTCCGGGAAAGCGGGGAAGCCTCCGTGTGGAGCCCCAAAGAGAACCATCGCTGACAGTGAAGAGTCGGAAGCCTACAAGTCGCTCTTCACCACTCACAGCTCTGCCAAGCGCTCCAAGGAGGAGTCTGCCCACTGGGTCACCCACACCTCCTACTGCTTCTGATGGCTCCTCCAAGCGCAGCTGTGTCCGCTGCTGACGCTCCGTTTGCACGGTGCTGAAAGTCATCCTCAGAAACCTTGGAGCCGGCTGCCGTCCCTCCTGCCCAGAAGGGCATGCTGGAGAGTGGCTGGACACTGGCTCCTGCCCTGCTGCCCGCCTCCAGCCCGAGATGCACTTGGGCCTCCCAGAGGCTGAGGAAGCTGGCGCTGTTGGCTGCACCCTTCCTGCTTAAAATCATTAAAATTCCAGCTTGCTACCTGCTCTGTGGCTCGCTGCTTTTAATTAAAATTGTAGCAGTCGATTAAATAATAGAGCACGTGGAGTGGAACTCGAGAAAGGATGAGTTTCACCCACACGCCACCTGCCTCCCTGTGCGTCCACCCTGGGAGAGCAGAGCCGAATGTGTGTGGTCTTAACACTTTAAAGATGGGAAAGTCTCCGGGTGCTGTGGAATCCAAAAGACAAAGGGGGGGGGGTGCTCTAAAGAACAGAAATTGATTCTCTCCTACTGGGCTGCTGTTGTTAAATGCTTTCAAGTTGGTTCCCACTCATCCTGCTTAGGGTTTCAGCCACTGATCCTACAGTGCCACACCTGAGGTTGGAATTCAGATTGACACCTAGGTGAGGAGGGGGCATGAGTCTTTCTCTGCCCAATCCTTCCAGTTCTTAGGCTTCTCGATCCATCTGCCACCTTCTTCCCCATGAGTGTGACTGCTCGTTATCACTCACAAGTGATGAGGCTGCCAATGAGTCCAATCTCCACTGGCATGGCTCCACGAACATCGCACAGCCCCATTCCCAAATGGAATCGCACCCACAGCTATAGGGGCTAGGGTTCCACCATGTGGTTTGGTCTGGGGGAGGGTGGAGGGCTGAACTTAATCCCTCACAGGCACTTAACAAGTTGAATCCAAAATAAATCGAGCCTGCCTTTTCTCTTACTGGTCTGTATTCTGTTTCTTTCCTCTCCCTTCCATTGTTTGTGTAAGAAAAGTGCAGCCTGGCATTGTCAGGGAGACGAGAAATTCCATGATGTCACATTGGCATCCCTTTCTCTCCCTCAGCAGGAGGTCAAAGGGGCTTGTACATGAAATTGGTACAGTTTTTTCTCCCCGTATTTTTTTTTTTTTTTTTTTACTTCCTTGATTCATGTCAGTACAACCCCACTAAACCATCTTCTTATTTTTATTTTGTTACTTTCTTCAGGATCAGTTCGTTTTTTAAATTTGGTTAAAATTATTTTCATCCCAATCAGTTTTTTTGTTTTAGTTTCTCAGAAAAAACTTGATTCATTAGCCCTTTCGGTAAAATTTTACTAATGACAGCTTCTGCCATTATGAGGTATTTTGGTTCTTTTTAATGGCCGTATTTCTCCGCGTTTCATTTTCCTGCTTCTTACCTCAGTCCATCAGTGTATGCTGCACTGATTATTCTGACAGGGTTCCCAGGGTCCCGAGCACCAAAACTGCAGCACCCCAGACACCCAGGACGTCTCCCACCGAGGCTGTCGTCCCCTGTGCCCACACCACTGCCCTGGGCACGCTGTGTTACCCCGTCTGGCATTTCAGAGACCCTGGGGTCTGCGGGCTATGTCCACCAGTGCCCAGTCCACTCCTCACCCGATGCCCAGCCTGGTGCCCACCAGGACCCAAGTGTAACTTGTCCTGCAGTGAGAGGATAGAGGAACCCCCAAAGTAGGCTACTACACTTAGCACTACTGAAAGTTCCCCCAAAATGAGCTAGGCGGTCTTTAGACCCAGAGAGAGACTTGCCACTGAGACCTCACTAAGAACGCCCGCTCTCCCGCTGATCCATTCAGGAAGTGCTGAGCCTGCTTTAGACTTCAGAGCAGAACTTGAAATGGAATTATTCTCACCAGCTGCACACACAGGTGTTTTCAAGTGGTGAGAAGCGTTCTCTATGCTGTCATCTCAGAAATACCACAGTGGACAGCCTTAACAAATTTATTTTCTCACCAGTTAAGGGGCTAGAAGTCCAAATTGGAGTGCCAACTCTAGGGGAAAGCTTTCTCTCCCCACTCCCAGTTCAGGAGGAAGCCCCTTGTCTCCCTTCATCATTTCTGTGCCTGGTGTTCTGGGAGACCTCCATGCAGCTTGGCCACCATGTTCACCTGGATCCAAACAGACGCACATCACTCCCAGCTCTCCCTGCTTGGTGAGCGTCCCGTCTCTCTCTGCTCATGTTCATCTCTTACATCTCAGGATAGAATCACTTTACAAAGGGACTTCAAAAAGTTCATGGGAAAATTCCATTATCCTTTTATTCTGTTTTTCCACAAACTTTTTGAAGCTCCCTCATACAACCTAATTCAGTCTGATTCACATCCCTGGATCTAGTCCTGTCTCATTAGCATGGAGAGGTGAAAACTTAGAACAAGGTGATTCCATCCGATCACAAAATGGTCACAGAATCACTGACAATCACGAGGGAGCACAGGGCAGTCCCTGACAGCGGGTAACACAGATTCACTGAACACTGGTCAGACTTCTGAGTTCATTTGCCCCCTACTGTGGCTCAACATCACATGTTGAGTGTCACCAGGGACTGTCATCTAGTATACATGCTACACATCCACACAGAGCACTTGTCCCTGAACTCTGACATGGCCTCCCCACAGAGCCTGTGGTGCCCGGCGGGAGGCTGGGCACAGAAAATGTCATGGTTGTGAGGACAAGGCCACACCTGAAGGTCACAGAGCTTCCCGCCGTGGCCTGAGAGCGATTGATTTCATGGTGCCTATTGTCTAATCCTCCATCAGCACTGGACCAAATGGTCAGCAGTTCAAACCCACCAGCTGCTCCTTGGAAACCATATACAGGGTGGCTATGAGTTGGAACTGACTTGACGGCATGTAAGCAATAGTTTCTAATCACCCCTTAGAACCTGCTTCGATCTCACTTCTGCCCAGATGGTTCCCTGCCAGGAGCCCCCCACCCCTCCGGTGACCCCTCCAGTCACGGTGACCAGTGCACGTGGATGTGAACCCGGCCCAACTCAATCCTCTGTTCTCTTTTTGTTTCAAGAAGTTTCACAGAATATCTTTGTCACACCCAGAGCTCAGCATGTTGCATATTGCTCACCACGTCTTATTCCTAGTGAAAATGTTGGAGTCTAATTCTTCATTAGGAAGATGGTTGGACACTGTGAGCCAGGAGCAAGGGCAAGCTTTGGGTTCCGTTAGCCGAGTCAACCAGCCAGTGAGCCTCAACCCTCAGACAGGCTGTGCCCTCGCCTCAGACCCCAACACTTCCTAGACATCAGCCCCTTCTGCCACACCTAGCATCCCTCAAACATTTCCCAAATGTGCTGGTGAGGAACACCTCCCTAGGGATCCTAGATCAGTCTCCTTGCTATGTGGGTGTCCAGTGCAGTTCTTAACCCAGTCTTGCATATATACTCAACACAGGGATCGCACACTGAGCTAAGCTCCTGAGTGGGAAGCAATAGGGAGTGGTGGGGACTGTGGAAAAGAATGGCCCACCCAAGGGGGAGTTCCTGCTTGGCCCTGGAGTGAGGGCCAGTGATATCAGATTGTCTGCCTTCTAAAAGGCAGCCAGAAACTTAGTTTTTTGTTTGTTTTTAAAGTGAAGTCCTCCCAACATTTAAATGTTGACAACTAGTGTTTTTAAAAGCATTTCTGTTGTGCTGTGGAGTCAGTTCCAACTCATTGAGAACCTGTCTAGAGTTTCCAAGGAGAGGCTGGGGGGGTCTAACACATCTGGGACCTCTAGTCTCCTATTTCCCACTCAGCATCCTGGGGACACATGCCAAGTCTCCCCCGCTCATTCCAACATCTGGGTCAAACAGAAAATGAACTAGAGAGGACCACTTTTCCCAGCAAATGTGCTGGGACGGACGGAGAAGACACCCTGCCCTCATTCCTCTTATTTTATTGCCTGCTGGACATTTCTCTAACTCTCCCCAAGTCTTCCTCCGGGACCACCTACTCTGGGCTTCCCCACCCACCACCCTAAAGCGTCACAATGGCCAGAGCCACCTCAGGGCCCTCTATGACATCAGCAGCAGCCTAGCCTTAGGTGCCCAGTCTCCCAGTGGTGAGAGCAAACCACCCCATCATGTGCAACTTCCTCCCTGGCTCCTACTCATCATGCGGACGCTGAAGTTGTTTCTGTTCGTACTTCTCGGCCTCTCGTGCAGCTATGCCTTTATGTTTTCTTCTCAGAGAGAGAAAGTCAAAGAACCCCAGGGAAAGGTGCCTTGCGGGGGTCACTTCCGGATTAGGCAGAATCTTCCAGAGCACGCTCAGGGCTGGCTGGGGAGCAAGTGGCTCTGGCTCTTTTTTGTTCTTGTGCTGTATGTGATACTGAAGCTTCGAAGTGACAGAGACAAGAGTAAGGTAAGGACGGCCCCTTTTCTTACATCCCATTGATTCAGGCTCACAAATCTGACTGGAAGAAACAGGTATAGGTAGAAACAGGTATAGGTTAAATATTATGGATTTGGATGGAAGACTCAAGGTCCCAGGCAAAGTTGGCGATTCCATTTCCTGATATTTCTCAAGCAAAAGCAGTAGCCCCCAAATCCACTGAGATTAGAACCAGAGGTTGAAGACGACCTTCTGTTATTGGGTGAATAAAGCCTTGGCCCGTTCTAGAGCTGTTAAGCGAGTTCTTTCAAATCAAGGGTGAATCTAAGACCTTGATGTATTTTAGCTCAAAATCATTCACAAAACCAGACTGGCTTCCCCTATTGTTGAATTTCCCCAGCATCTGACTTCTTATAAGCAGCCAAACTACATGGAAATGGAATCACTTAACCAAATAAGGGAA